GGCCCATCACCCAAATGAGAGGGATGAAAACAACAACACACACGCGCACGCCAGAGGGGCGGGAGAATAACGGCCCCGCCAACGCCGACGAAACCCCAAATGAAGCAGACTCAGGCTCCCAAACGAATGAAACTTGGTAGCACCTTTCCCTCCAGAAATGTATTTTCCTTCCCTTTACCAAGTTTACATTGTTAACTCCCCCCTGTTCAGCCTTCATTCCACCACACACATGTGCGTGTGGGTGTGTGGGCGGGTGTGCGTTTCTGGCGGTGGAGGCGTAGCAACCGTGTCCGCAACAAGGAAGCCAAAGTAACCACGAATCGCGCAAAGAGAAAAGTACAGAAGAGGCACACGGCGAGGAAGCGAGAGACAGAGAGAGAGAGAGGGAGATGGAGATGGAGGGATCAAGCGTGGGTGGGGAGAAACATGTCTATGAAAACCGTTCCGAATCATCCACTACCAATGAGACATTCAACGCCTTCTTGATGCCATCCCACTTTGCATCGGCCCTGCCGGCGATGACCTTCTGCGGCAGAGCAGCTCGCAGGTAGTACTTGGAAGAGGAAACACGAAGCTCATATGGATCGACGGAAATGGCCAAGTCGGCAACCTTCTCCAGCTTGGGCATGATGACTTTTACAAGCAGACCAGATGGTCCCCCAACGGCCTTCATGGCGTCTATCCCAAGGTAAACATCCTCTGCAGTGACTATTTCCTGATGCACAATGGAGTGTTCTGGCTCTTCGGCATCTTCTTTTGGGTTTAGCGTAGCGTCGTGGCGTGCACGAAATGCGGCGGCTAGTTCCTCGTCCGTCCAAATGGCAAAACCCTTCGCCTTTGCGGACTGACGCTTCTTTAGCTGTCGCTGTTTGGCTTCACGGCTCTCGGACGGAACTGGAAGGCGTAGCTGCTGATCCACGACCGTGGAGGGCAACGGAATACTTGAGGGTTTTACTTGCATCGTCGCACCGGCCGCGGCGTCAGCGGAGGCGCCGCCCCCCGCATTCGCCTCTTGTAGACTGTAACCCACCGTTTGCCCCTCCGGGCGCTTGAAGCCCTGATTCTTGTCCAACAACTCGGCCAGAGCCGAGATGTCTTGGAAGCCAAATCCACCGCCAGACTCCATCACTTAATCCACCCGAACTCCTGACAAGGGAGGAGGGAAAAGTTGAAATGATGCTCCCCTTGAAACACCGCACACGCACCCAATCACAGCAAAAAAACGCAATAAAAAAAGTCGGGGGGGAGAAAAGAAAAAAAGGCCCACTCACCACAAAGTTTCACCACCACTTCTGTCACTTGCACCACATCCTTGCGATGACACGACCAGGCGAATCAGGGAAAGGAAAAGTGGTTGGTAGATATCCGCCGTACCACCACAACCTTAACCCTAGACCTCCACCGCGATGTCAGCCAGTGCGGCCATCGGCCCCAGCATACTACCTTTTTTTTTCATTTATTTTTCTTTCCTTTTTCTTTGCTTATCTGGTCTTGGCCTTTTTGCTCCCCTTTTCCTTGACATTTTAATCCCCGCCTCCCGTCAAAGTTTACTGCGGCTTCCCAGCAGGGGATCGAACTCCAGCTGAGAAAGCACCTTGTGTACCTCAGGCCTGAAAACGAGCAACGAGAGATATTGTTTCGCCTGAAACGCGGTAAGGACAGACGTGCACATACAATCATCCTCCACAATGATGGTGTTGAGTACTTTATGATCCGTCAGAGTGAGCGGCAGCTTTGCCAGCCTTGCAGGAGTCTCCTGCCACCACAACCGCAGAAGCCTCACCGAGTCCCCGCCTAGGAATCGTAGCGGCAAACTATCCTTGGGTCGCTCAACCGTGACGTACAGGTCCCTCAACAACGACTCATAGGCGGCACCAAGGTTCGTTTGCTGGTTCATAGTATCCTCCAGTGCCTTTTTGGCATTATAGTACTCCAAAAACTGCATCAGGGAGGATGGCCAACGCAGCACGACGCGCTCATTGGAGGGTTCATCGTTGCCCTTAAAATGACTAAGAATGTCCATCATGGCATGAACCTGTTGCGTGTGTTCCAGCATCTCACGCAGAAGTGGCTCAATCTTGCCGACGTACTGCTGGATGTCCGGTATACCAACCATGCGAGGCATTTGGCCGCGTATAAACTCCTGCGGGGAAGGAATAGAAGGTAGACGCAACATGGAGGAAGAAGACACCACGCGAGGCTGCAACGAAACGTTTTCTTCGGATTCCACGGGTATCTCAACTACATACCCGCACTGAGGTCGAAGAGAATTGATTGGGTTGGGGGAGCGGAGGTAGGTGATGATGTCGGCATCGTCCGCCTTCAAGGGACTCATGGTCTTCTCAATGAAGTTCTTGCACCCCGGCGACTCAAACGTGATGGCGTACGTGCGTTCCTCTACAGACCGGCATGCCGCAAGAACGGCGCCTAGGCTATGGCCAGTATAGCTAATAAACCACTCGGGTGTCTCCCCCCGCGTGACGCTCAGGTATAGGCGAACTTGCTTTGAAAACTGTCGCGCCAAGCTAAACAGGATGGTGCGCTCGTCAAAGTACGTCCAAACACCCGCTCGTAAGCTCAGTGCGTTTGTCGTCCCCCGCTGGGCAATGATGCAGTGCCGCAATTCTTTATTGATGTACGCTACGCTAAAGTATCCTTCCTTATCCAAGTTTATGTCCGTCGCCGTCAGAAGGACCTCCCACGCATTCGGCACCGGGGGGCCGTTGGGGTTGCTATACACATGAAGCGACAGCGTGGCGTAGACGGAGTGTGGAATAAGTTGCAAGGACGGGACCTCCTCCGCTGTCAACTTGGGCCGGCTTTTAGTAAGCGCGGTGAAGCAAGTGGGGTTTGACGAATACTTGCTGTGACTGAACCCCATGGTGTGGAGCTCTGCCTTGACAACCAACGGCACTTCCACGCTGAGGAAGACCAGGAAAAGAAAGGAAAAACTTGGGGGGGGGGGGGAGAGGGAAAAATTACGGGACGTCGGGTCCAAATGCAATTTTCGACAAAACTAGACGGCTCAGGAGGCAAATAACAACCATGAATGAGGCTAAAAACTCCCCCC